AACCATTTAATTCGTGAGGCAGCTTCTTATGCAGCCCCACCCCCCTCTCGCTCTCGTGTCCGCAGGCCGAGAAACTCTCTCTCGGACCCGCCTAATAAACTTTCAAACGACCTGAACTGTCTCCTGGCGGCTCAGGCCAACTCTAATTAAATAAAATTATTGTAATAACTAACATTAATTTGCCTTCGTAGGCACTCTCTCAGGCACTTAGCCACCTGCGCCCTCTTTTCCCAAAAGAGGGTCGCTCATGATAAGGCACAATAGAGCTTAATCAGCCGGTTGCCTGTCCCCAAAGGCGGTTTTTAGAGGGTATCACATAGAGTCCGCGGTAGGACAGTGAGCCCCTCATAACCACGATAGACCGGCTATCGTGGTATGCGTAATGCATTTTCCGCCTCCCTACGTATAGGGTAGCCCTTTAATTGCTTCGGGCGCAAAAAAAAAAAAGCCGTAAAGGCAGTCATGGCTCTGGCGTGGCACGGTTCACTTGTTGTATCCCGCTACGAGCTCATCCTCGACTATTCGGTTAAATAATTCGTGGAAACCAATAGATTATTATTATCAGCTATTAAATTACTCTCAGTACAATTTATAGTTGATTACCTGTAATCCGTGTATTTTGTGATTGTAAATTAATTCTATTTAACATATAAAAACATAAAAATTATGATTTGAAATGAACAGTACTAAAGAACGATAATTTCAAATAGTTAAGTAGGTAAAGGCCTATTATAATATATATACATATATAATCAGGTTGACTGCGTGCTCGTTTGTCACCCTTATTATATAAAAAAATGTGCAACTCTGTCTATGGACCACGGTATCCACTTACCATCAGACGGTAAGTGGATGCCATAGGCATCTACATTTATCTTCAATTAAGTCACCATTGAGGAATGGGATGGAATGCTTCGTTTCTAGTAAAAAAGGGTCTTCGGATCTCTACGCTCATCATACGAAACACAACAGCATTAAGCTGCTATTTTACGCTGGTATTCTGTGAGAGCGTGGTCCAACCCCGGCCGGGCCGACAATATAGCTGCAGCATGGCTCTACCATTTAAAAACATTCTTAAATAATAATATTTTGACTTTTAGTATACATGTTTGTATGTAATACATAAGCGTGTATAGTTTTTGTGGGTTAATTTTGTTATCTTCTCTAGCCTCAACTGCGGAATTTCAAAAAAAGGATGTCCTTATAGTTTATATGTAACAGTAATAATATTACAATACAGCACATAAGCAGAAAGGTTAAGAAAGAATGAAAAGTCTCCTTAAATTTCATATAAAAATAATAATGGTTACATAAATGGAATTTTCAACATCATCTCAATCGATCTAAGTCCTCTGCTGAACATATTATTATGCATATTCGTGCATTAAAACATAGTAGTCGTTCCGGAGCTTTTTTTTTTTTTTTTTGTTAGATAAAATTACATACAAAATAAAATAAATGATCTTAGCTACATAATAGAAAAAACTGAACTGGTTATTTGAATAAAAAAATCATGAGTGCAATTAGCTTAATTTAAATTTTCGTGTTTTTAAAAATTACTATAAAAGGGGCTCGAAAAAACAGATTTTCTCAAAAAAAGAAAGGAACTTGAAAAAAAAAAATTAAAAAAGTCGGTCGGTCTGGGCTCGAACCATGGTATTTCTAATTTGTGACCGCCCAATATACCAATTAAGCTATTTTTAATCGTTAATGATTTGTCAAAATTTACCTTCTTATTCTAACGATATTGTAAAAGTTTTTCATTACCTAAAAACACGGACAAAAGAACATTTTCTAAAAATAAATCCTAGCTAGGTCGATTTATTGCCCCCGAAACTCCCTGTACACAAAATTTTATGAAAATAGTTGGAGCTGTTTCCGAGATTCCGATTATATATATATATATATATATATATATATATATATATATATATATATATATACAGGACTTGCTCGTTTAAAGGTATAGGGTGTTTGATATATATGACATAGCTGTTACTCTTAAAGTAGTTCCCGATTTATTTAATTATTTATTAAAATATACATAAAAGCTTCAACTGAAATAAGCGGCATCTAACGATTCATAAGGTTAACTTTGCGTGAAAATTTTGCTTTAAAAGGGAACCAAAATATATAAAATCGCTACGTTTTAAAGAGAACCCTCACAATTTTATGATAATACACAGTAACGGTAGTTAAAGTGTACATTCCTAGATGGCAACTATTATATATTATATAAAATTTAATAGAAATCGTCAACGTTTTTGTTCCATTTATTTATGCAAACAAACACGATTTTTGCAAACTAATATAAAATAGGGAATTGACAATGACAAAGATAAAACTTATTTAACAAAAGTAGGAGAGAAACACTTTTTTTTATTTTGGTTCAGTCTTCTGACGTACAACAACATAAAAATTCATACACAATTCACAAAGATACGAAATTTCATAAAATTGGTTTTGTACGTCGAAGGCATGCCAAAAACGTTCATCTCATTACATAGAGTTGTAGCGAAACCCTAATGCTGATTTTCATAATAGATAGAGATATTAGCATGATTGGTAGTAACAGTATTGCCGTATTAAATGATAACATAATCTACAAGACAAGGAAACATTTTTTAGTAAAACGCCATCTATCGGAATATATAGGAAACGCCATGTACCCAACTTATTTCATTCTATCGGCATGTAACTCTGCTTGAACATCTAGTATCATCACGTAGGTAACCGAAAGTACTCTCATAGTCTTTCCAATACTTAACAAGATGTCACTACTGGTATTAAAATGTATTTTTTATTTGAGTTACTATGATATGGTATTACATAGTAACTCAAATATATTACTGTAATATATATTAGTGTAACGCGAGTAATCTCCGAAGGGTAAGCAGAGCCCAAAGAGCAGCGGGCTACTCGGATAACTTCAAGACAAAAAATGAAAATAGGTGGTGAATAAAAGTAGTAATAGGTGGTTAGCCCAGAAAGAAGGTTAGAGAACAGGAGAACGATCGCCGTAGAAAATAGTGTCCCAGAAATAAGGACACCATAAGTGAGACGCTGCGATCGCTAATTTCGGTCAATAAAAGTCATTGTCAGTCTATTTTTCAGATCAGATGCTAAACCACTTGCACATCCACGCACAATAAAATATTTCTCCATATTGTAATGTTTCTTTTTGTCAAAAATTACAAAATTACGGAGCATGAAAATTTTCTCACCAGTGACGCGGAGAAAATTTGTACATTATTCAATTAACTTCATCTAATTGTACTCATAAATAGCTAACTTCGCAGTCACTACTCACCGACGTCAGCGCCGCTATAGATTCTACAATTTTCAAGGACAGGCGGGCTATGCTTTAGTACGTAGTGATCGTTCTCCTGTTCTCTAACCTTCATGGTTTTAACCGTAGACAGATAACGATTCTATCTAAGTTTTTAACCACAGACTAATAAGAGTACTAACTTAGTTTTAACTACGAATGTAAGAGAACAGGAATACGATCGCCGTAGAAAATAATGTCCCAGAAATATGGAAACCATAAGTGAGGCGCTGCGATCGCTGAGTTCGGTCCATAAGTCATTTTCAGTCTATTTTTCAGATCAGATGCTAAACCAATTGCACATCCACGCACAATAAAATATTTATGAAATATTTATAAACACAATTGCCTTTTACGACATGTTTAACAAGTAACACAGTTGGCACATACACATAAACATATACCCCATGTTTAACATAAAATGTTCCAGACCGAAACTATGATTAGGTACTTATACTGAATATTTAAACTTTAAAACTCCATTGTAAGACTTTTTTTATATTTCTAGTCTACTTGTAACTTCGTATGATTTTGTATCAGTGTTGTTCTATTTATTACATAGAACTATGTAAAATAAAATTTTCACGTCACGAGTCACGCTGTCGTACGAATAGGTTAGGTCGCCCTGGGAACCACCACGCTTTCAATCCAGCCTAAAATAGTAGCACAGTATCACTTTGCTACTACGTTTTGTATAGTTAGTTAGCAAACCTGAGATCCTGGTTTTTTTATAGAAGAGGGGGCAAACGAGCATGCGGCTCACCTGATTTTAAGTGACTACCGCCGACCATGATCAACCGCAACACCAGGAGAATTGAAGGTGCATTGCAGGTCCTTTAGAAAGGAGTAAGGTCTTATCGGTCCGGAAAAATCGCCGGTGGTAAACTCTACAGAGAGGTCGTACGCGGAAGAAAACGTCCTAGTGAAACGTACAGTGGTGGACCGCCAGGCATCCAGATGGTGTGGATGGTATCGGGACGTTTGCCGCGTAGTTCGTTCACAAAATTTGTCGGCTGGGATTAATCCGAACAATTCCTCAGAGCACTCCCCATGGTATATGCGAAAGAAAATGCAAAGAGATGCAACATCTCTTCGCAGCGCCAGTGAATTGAGCCGATCGGAAAGCACTCGATCGTCGACGATTCGAGCCGCTCTGTGCTGGATGCGGTCAAGTGGAAGGAGCTGGTACTAGGGAGCTCCAGCCAAGAGATGGGAACCGCATGCCACGTGCGGACGAACGTGCGCCTTGTAAAGTTGCAGGCGGTGTGCCGGCATGAAATACTGTTCCGCTATGCTGAGCACGCCAAGCTTTTTAGAGCCCAATTTGGCCTTCTCTTCCAAGTGACCACGAAACTGCACGTCACTCGATATGTCGATGCCGAGGATTCCGATACTGGCTGAGGCAACAAGGGGAGTGCCTTGAAACTGAGGAGATACAAAAAAGAACCCCTTTTAGCGGTTAACGCGCAAACTTGTCTCTTCTGAAGGTTAAACTGGACTAGATTATAGGGGCGACTAGCCTCCAATCCGAGACTCTGTTTGCATTTTGATTCTTAATCGAGCTTGTATCTAAGGGCCGCAGCATTCACTTTATTGTTTTACTTCAATACTATTTGACTGTTATTATAATAGGTGAAAATAAAACAAGATGTAATAAAAATTGTTTAATTTCTTATCGAAATTTGCTTAGTAAGAACGATACAAATAAATATACCAATTCGCACAATGTCAATATCGATGCGCCGAAACTTAGCGTAAATATACCTCCATACGTTGCTGTAAGGGAAATATTTCACTTATAATTATTAGTTTTATAAAAATATAGTATTAATTTGATAAAAATACATGTAGAATAGACTACAATATAATAAAATCATTTTTATTCAATATTCAACCAACTACTCAAAGAGTTCAAGTAATATACAGATTGTCTTCTAAATATTCATATTAAAAATGTATGCCCTATTGTCAATTCTTAGGGGTAGAAATTTAATATGGGACCATTAAAACTATTAAAAGTTTCTCAGATTTAAATATAAACTGGAGAACAGCTTAGTAGAATATACTTTAAAAAGCTTGTAAGGGGGCTACAAAATTGCATCATGATGGAAATCTTACTGAGAAGATCAGCAAGCAGCAATATTTGCCGGCTATTTTTTTTTTTGCTGGAATGTTATTTTTGTTCAAAACCTTGCGGAATGAATAACGACAATATAAGCAACATTCAAAAGTATTTTGCCGAGTGATTGAGTTTAAGAAACAAGACGTAAGCCTTGGCTTGGCGACATTGCACTGCCTGTAAAATATGCCCCATTTACATTCAACCTTTATGGGCAGGGAAGTGAGCAGCGAAGTGGGCAGGTCAGTATGTAAATAGGCTACTCGCACTGTAACTGCCCATGCCGCCCGCTAACTGACGCTCCCTCGATAGTCGATTTTGATGTCGTAGTTGAATGTTTACATTCCGCTCCATCGTGATCGCTCACTTCGCGCCAAGTGACTGGACGAACGGACGTGCCGTATTGTTTTTAAATAAGTACAATCTGCCAAAATGCCTTTCGAGTGGAGTAACGAAAACACAATCAAGTTTTAGAACTGATGAAATCAGAAAAGTCTATAAGTATGGGTTTTCATCGATAAAAACCATAATCCATCATCTTCTACGGCGACGAATTTTCTTTTGAATTTGATATCCTTTTAAATTATTAACATAATTTTGTATTAAAAGAAGACACACCGCGGACGCTAAACTTATTTCGACGTCTGCCAAAGTCGAAAGTGATGTGAGTGGCAGGGCAGAATGTAAATAGGTACACACATCTCTCAATCCTGCTACGGCAGTATTTAGCGAAGTATGCCAACAGCGCGAGGAGTAGTGGCAGGGGCTGAATATAAATGAGGTTATAAAGAATGCAACTTGAAGGCTATACTACTGTATACATATATAATAAGTATACGACGGATATGTGGCGCTGGTAGCCGCGGGTTTGAATCCCGAACGGATCAAGCAATTGTATTTCCTACAAATATCTGTTCCGGGTCTGGATGTTTGTCATGATGAAATATATGTATGTAAACTGCCTCTATGATACAGAAAAAAATTTCGTGTAGGGGCAACCTTTTATTATAAATTATAAAATAATAAATAACCTTAGCCAAAATTTTCCACAAAGATAACCCGTTCAAGAGCGATTTTATTCCAAAATAGATAAATTTCATAAAAAAGAAATACACAAGAGCAAGTGCTTTTTTAAATATGTTTCAATTATGTAGCTACAATTTTCTGAGGTTGACTATCAAATTGTTTAGTTTTAGCAATCTTTATTTTGTATATAAAGCTCAAGTGACAAACGAACTAACAGTACATATTATGATGGAGAGTGGCTATTGCCGCCATAGGACACCTGCAGCATACTTCAAGGTGGTTGGCAGGTGGCTCAGGACCGTGCTTTATGGCATACCTTGGGGAAGGCTTATTTTCAGCGGTGGAATTGTGAAGGGCTTATTGATCCGTTGTAGTTGTTGATCCATATGTAATATATAGTTACCAATAAAATGGTTGAAGTCCATTAAGAGCATCAGATTGTAAGTATTGCAAGAGGATTTCGCGAAATAAACTTGTAAGGCTGATAGTTCACTGATATTGCGGCCATTTCTGAAAAATCAATAAAATTAATATGATAAATATATTTTTCTGCAGATCGGCTTATTGCTCAAATTAACACGCTAAGTAGAATTCCGTTTCCGACTAGGAGTCCTTCTGGGTGTGTGCGAACCCACAGAAGGGTATAATTGAAGGTGGCGAAGCAGTCCATCTTTAACTTCAGAGTTGATCACGCATCTGTTCCTTTCTTTATTTTAAATATTAGAAAATTGAATCTGCTGCAATCACAATCTCAGAAAACAACAAAGCTGACAAAATATCTTTGATTCAGTTACTAAATTTGCCACAGTTTGTGGGTGGCGGTAGTCACTAATCATCAGATAAGCTGCAAGCTGCTTGCTCTCTTTTCTTTGAAGAAAATCAAAATTGAAATTATATTTTTGAGGTGTTCTAAAATTTTATTTTACTGTGCTAGCCTGTTACCAGCGTAGAAATCATTTATACTGTCATACGTTTTTATTCTTATACGTTTCGTCTCACATTACATTAAAACATTTAAGAATTTTTATCTTGTCTGGCAGTTTAATTTTTTATAAAATTATATTTTAATAAAAGATGTAGATGAAAGGTAGATTTTGGATGTGAGTAAAATTACTAGTAGTCTTTTTTTTGTTTTGGCTATATATATATATATATATATATATATATATATATATATATATATATATATATATATAGCCATACAATATAGTATATAATGTCAATGCCATACAATGAGCCAGATGATCGCTAAAGTTTCTTTCCAAAACAGCTTACTAGGTAATCACGTGCAGATTAGATGATTAGAGCCATGGTGTAATTGTATCATGGCTGCATCACAAATGGATCGGCTCTATAGGAAAAGGCAGACGCTCCCACACCAGCTTATTTTCTCTAAGTCCTCAGAAGTGTCAACATATTCTGCATCTTAATTCTCAAGAATAGTTTTAGGTGCTTATGGTACCAAAGCACTTCCTTACCATCTGGTGCAATATATCCTCTTGTATATGAATGAAATAAAAATATATTTTATTTCATTTAATTTTAAAGAAAAAAACTTACGTAATATTCGACGAAAAAAGTTCTGGAACAAACGGCGTGAGATCACTGGTGATACTATATCTTTTGTCTCGGCACTCCATGTAACAAACGGGAATACACGGCCTTTGTCTTTCAAATCTGTAGGCTGATTAAATATAAATATATTTACTTCGGGTGCACTAAAAACCATCACTGTAGTTTCGGTGACGGAATAAACTGAGTGTGATCCATGTGCCGAACGCTCACCAATGTCAGTAACATTTTTTATTGTTAATCCGTCAAAATTTTGTTTTTATTTTTAAATTTTGTAATACTTTTATTAATTGATGTGTCTACAAATATTAAAATTTAAGTTTATCTAATGTAGTAAGTATCTAATATAGATAGTGAGTTATGGCTATTCGTGTTTAAAAGTAGTGAAATTTGGTTAAATAACAAAGTTCAAAAATTAAAATATAAATTACACTAACAGTACAGCCGATTATTGTGAGCAAAGTTTGACATTGATAACACTGCATTCATTATAAATTACAATAAATGTTCAAATTGTCTGCCATCAACTCTGATGCAGGCCCTACATCTACGAATAAATGCTCTCCTGAGGAGTCGAGTATAGCGTCGATCATTTATTTTAAATACGGCTGCCCAGTCACGGCTACGTAAGTCTCCCAAGGAACGGATCTGATTTGCGTAAATTTTTTCTTCGTATTACTTCCCTTTATAATTGTATCTCTATAAATTAGCAGTAAGCAACAAATATGAATAAACTGTTACATTTTCTCTTTTAAGTTATCTGTTTCTAATTTATTCTGGTATTAATCTAGATAAATCTATAAATGATTACCAACTTTATATAATTGATATCAATAACTCTTAAGAATCATATATTCTAGGTACCGATTTTTATAATTTTTAAAAATGAATTAGAGTGACAAACGAGCACACAGTCCACGTAATGATAAATGGATGCTGTGACCCGTAGACATGATCCTTGATTAAGAGTCAAAATGTGAATGCGTTGGCATTTATGAGGACAAAGATGGAACGTCTTGTTTCTAGAAAAAGGGGTCTCTGGTTCTCTACACTCACCATACGAAACACAGCAGCATTGAGCTGTTTTACGCTGGTATTCTATTTCAGCGTGATCCTTCCCCGGTCGACCCGATCCATTTGTGTTACAATCATAATATAAATGCAGTATGGCTCTACGACGATAATGCTAGTCCAATAAACGTGACAGCTGTCAAAAGGTATTTCTTAGATTTGGTGAAGTATAGGAAAAGTTGTTCGACTGGGTAAGCTCGACTTCGACTGATAGGCAATGAGATTTAAATAAATTACTAAGACGTCAATCGCCGGATATAAGTCTGCTTAGAAAATTGAGCCTATTGAAGATTCTTACATTTATTGTCGCATCATCATAATTTTTTTTAAATTTATTTAAGGATCAGTAAACAACTTCAACAGAGGCTTAATAAATAAACTTAATCCTAAAATTTGAATTTAGTGAAGCCAACACCACCAGCCTCAGATAATAATTTATAGGATAAATTAATAATATGTATTATAATTAGTGAGAGATGTGAAGGCGGACTTACTACATAATATGCTATATTATAAAATGACATTAGTTGGAATTACTTAAACATATCAGCAATATTGAACTATTTAAAAATACTACAATCTAGTACAAACAACTAAACAAAAAAAACTGTTCACATTTTAGTTTTGATTTCAAACAATTACATAATTTAAATTATGTTTTGATATATTTTGATCTATTTATTTAGTTTTTAGTTAATAAGACTCATACGCTTATTAATCACTTTGCTTCTAAAGGAGTCAGCATGGTTATTACAAATGTCAATGTCCATGTCCAAATTTTGCATTAAGCGATACAATGGCGCTCTTTTGCCAGCATTGGTTCTACACAAGGGAAGGGCAAATCAGTTATCATCATTACAGCCCAGCACAGGTCTATTGCTGAACTTAAACCTCTAAAAAGGTATACCAGAAAACACGGTTCTGAGCTACCTGCTTTCCATCGACTTTTTACATCTACCAGGTCGACATTCCGTTCAGTTCGGGGCCGTTTTAATCTTTAAAGACAGAATTTGTTCAATTCATGTATACTAAATATATTCACGATAAAATAGAATATTAAGAAACGGTAGAACCTTTTTTTTTAAAGTATGTATTAATTAGCATTAATTGGTTGATCAAAAAAAACTTACCAGTCGTATTCTGTAAACATTGTAAATTTTTAAATTCACAAACGGGCGTTGTTTTTTCTGTAAATATAAAGGTGTTTTAAGTTACAAAGACTAAATTTATTATTAATATCTCATTTGTATTCAGTCTGTATTGTAACAATTAAATTCATTATTATTATAGGTAGGCAAAAAATATATTGAGGACTAAGATAGAAAGCCTCGTTTCCAGGTAAGAAGCGTCTCCGGATCTCTACACTCACCATACGAACACAACAGTGTTAAGCTGCTATTTTAAATCAGTATTCTGTGAGAGCATGGTCCTTCCCCGGTTGAGCCGACCCATTCGTGCCACTGCTATAATATAGCTGTAGCGTGGATCTACCACGTGGAAAACTTGCATTTATTGTTGGTATCTCTTCTTCCCGATGATAATTTAAACAGCTGTTTATAGAAAATATATATAAATCGTTTATTCCGATTTCATAATTGTCAATGTGCTGAACTTTTTAGTAGAAGACTGCCTACGATGACTACCTACGATGGAAAAATGATGCTTACTCCCCTGCGCACATCGGCAGTACGGATAATTAAAACTGTGCTTTAATATTAGGTAAAAGAACTTTTATTCCTATACCCTCTTCCGTTTTTGCAAAACTCATGCGGAAATACACTTGGTCTCTGTTTCTAACTTTTTAATGTCCATTAAATCAACTTAGCCTCTAATGAAAGCCGACATTATTCATCATAACATATGTTCACTTAGGGAACTTCCTCAGCTAAGGTATATTTTTTTTCCAAAAATTTGGGTTCCACTCTCAGACTTATAATGAAGGAAATAGTATTTGTAATGCATTTGGTAATTTTATCCAAAGTATACTTTTACCTCAATCACCACGAAATAATGATAAACCTCATCTAGACTTTAATTGTATGGATATTGACACCTCTCACGTATATATATATATATATATATATATATATATATATATATATATATATATATATATATATATATATATGATAAGCGTAAAACATTATCAATGAGAATAAGTGGCGTGGGGCTTCCGTCCCCCAACTCTCTCTCCCCATAAATCAGGTTAAAATTGTCATAAAACTTACGAAACATAACCTCAAAACGAGATTTTAAAAAAAATATAAAATAAACTAAGCACGTCCGGCAGAAAGTGGAAGTAGGGGGTGACTCTACATTTCCTCCCCCTCCCCCCACACCACCCCCACCCCCTAATTCAGGCGACCAAATTGTAAACCTTACCCTATTTTTTTAATATTTACCATTACCGAAATAAATAATATAAAAAATACTAGAAAATTGTTAGTCCAACATAGAATCTACTAATGATTTCTTATATTTACGCGAACACTATACATGATTAAAACTACCCAGCCCGAAACGTCCGACGTAACCGAAACAAAAAGTAAAAATAAAAAAATCCGTAAAAGTAGTTTTAATTAGAATCTACTAGTCATATCCATACCAATCGAGCTACCAAATAAAATGGCGGACTTTGTCGACTTGACCCTAATATACTGTGTGGCAAGCAGCCAGAATCTGGCCGATTGTTTATTGTGTTTCTAATTTTGATATTTTGTGAAATATAGTGAAAGATAGACACTGAACACATAAAATGTATGAAATTACTATAATAAATTAATTTGCTAAAGGTATTTGCTATGAATAATGTATTTTGCGTCAACAAAAGAGGTGAGTATATATGGTAAGAAAGTACAACAGCCATTTATGTTAGAAGGAAAAAATTAAATTTTTGATTAAGAAGTACACAAATCCCTAATTTATTAATTAATAAATGTTGGTAGCTTACCTATCCATGTTAAAACAGCACCAAACTTCACTATTCACTCGATGTAGGTATAAAAAAGCACTATAACAGCGACGGGTGACCACACGAAAGCGAAATTCACAAACGACTGCGTCAGGTGCGTCACAGGCTGTTTATTCAAAATCTCTAAACAATAGAGTACCTTAGTGGCATTGTATTGCGTACTCTTTCTTCGGTCTGGAATATTCTATAAGTTTATGTGTGCTAGCAATCATTGTCGCCGGTCATTTTACGCGCCAAATACCCAACCGCGGATCGGCCAGAATCTGGTCGCTTGCCAGACGCGCGTGACAAACTATCGGCCAGGTTCTGGCCGATCGCACACAAGGGGATAATTGATTTAAAAATTATAACGTTAATTTTTCAGTTCTTTTGTTTTATTTTAGTAGGAATAAATAAATTTTATAATACCTAACTAATCACTCCTTAAATAGATAATAGTAATATCTATCGAAAATCATAAAATCTGAGATGTTTCTTTCTAAGTTTAATTTCTAATCTATAAAAAGTCTTAGTATGTGTTAGTTTTTTTGTCTTTAACGAAACTGATAAAAACTGAAATTATTGCAAAACTCTCATTTCCCTTATGGTTTAAACAAAAACATTTATATATTATGTATTGTCTAGATATTAGAAATAATAATATCATAACGAAGTCGATCATTGAATGATGATTGATGATGAATTTTACATTTAACACTGTTTGTTGACTATATCATGATATAGCTTGACCTAATCAATGAGTATAGATCGTTTCGCGATAACAACTAAACTCAATATTGCTACTTCTTGATATTATTATATCGTAAAATATTTTAATTGCACACAACTATCAGTACTAATAGCGTAATTTTGACAAAAGCAAAAATTTTAATAGAATCTACATCACTTTATGCCTTATTTAAGTATTATATAAATGTTTGCGGCTTTTTTGTGCGGTTGGGCCATCCCAGTCGCAGCAAAATTTATTGCCGCTAAGTACAAGAGGGTACAATTTTAGTTTTTATCGTTTGAATCTAATAATAGCACCATCCGCTTACTGCTAAATAAACAAATAATAAGTAACTGACGAATTTAAAGAGAATTCTATTGAATACTTATTCTCGCAGCTTCAAAAATTGTCAGTCTTAAAATATACAGACCGGTGGCCACTGTCGGGATTTTGAATTGTCAATTTTACAAAAATGACTAATAAAGATGTGATTAAGACAGAAGGTCTTAGTGTTGAATATGTCTGGTGTCTATCGGCATAGCAATATTTCACCAACGTCTTCTTGTATCAAGTTCGTGATATCATTGAAAGACTAAAACTAGAAGTGGTTCACAATCGTGCAAAAACTTATTTTTAGTTTTTATTAGTTTTATTGAAACAAATACGAGAGCTCTGTATGCCGTGAAAATTCATAGTATAAAATCAAAAGTGTACAATCCCTGCGGGGATAAATGAAACTGGTAAGAAAATTTTATTTGCTTTTTTCCACGTGCTCAGTGAAGTAGTGAAGAATAACTTCGCAGTGAAACCTTGATGTGCATGTGTTGCAGATTTATTAAAAAAAACGTGGACATGTGAAAACCGCTATTTCTCAGTTTGGGTAATTAGGAGCCCTGTGCACAGTTGTAAGGCTTATGCAAGTTGATTTTTTACCATTTATGAGACTTGTAAAAGAGTTTGTCGTATATGTGTATAGGTGACATTCTCGGTTTCATTATTCACATGTGTAAATGAACAGGCTCCTGCGAAAAAGTACTATAAATATCAAAAACAGCAAATTTGAAACACAGGCTTATTTTAATTTTAATTATAAATGGAACTGCTCAGATAGTCATCTCTAAAAGCCGAATAAAAATAAAAAATCGAACCGCTTCATACGTAAAATTTCATAGTTGGTACGTAAATAACCCAAATTCGATCCAAACCGACACAAATCATATATTAATTCCTATTTGAAGTATCGATTTACCACGTTCTTGGTGATGAGAGAAAAAATCGCGAGCAAACATTCACATCTGAGAAGTTAAAAAAATATAGTCAGAACTTATTTTTTTGTATATGTGAAGTCGTTCATCCTGTATTGTAGTCAACTCAATCACTCTTTTTTGTTCTAAAACTCGCTGTGGTCTATGCCCAGGAGTGAGATGTATCAAGTGGATAGCAATATTAAAAGTAAAAAAGTAATCAAGTTTTTCACTTTCAATGGTCCTCCACTGCTGATCATAGGCTTGAACCACTGTTTGTCAAATAGGCCGGATATATCTAGGTAGTAGTAGCCACGCTTGCCAAGCGGGTTGGTGACCGCAGTTTTTATTACTTTGTGCTGTTATCAGGAAGATGCTGCCACATCTCTTGTTTCAGTTTCCCTCTGTCGTCTTTTACGATACCTGTTATCTTTAGAGGATAAACTGGTGCAAATAAAATGCTCTTACTTTTCAAAATTAGTTATACTCGTATTAGACAAATGAAATGTTAACCGTACGGCGTTTGGTTGCCAAGTGAGATGACATTGCGAATTTGCTTTGAGAAGCACATTAGCGCCTTCTGACGAGCTGAAGGCAATCACTCATTCGCGTATTTTACTTAAATCACTTCAGGCATTAAGCCTGAACATGCTCCCGGCCGTTAAAAGACCACTTTCAACTTTGAAGATCCTCAGCTGTCGGAAGCTTACAAAGTCGCACGAGAGAACGACACACGCAGCCTGTGCTTGTGTTGACGTTTTTGGTTCGGATTTTTAGTATTAAATATAAATCTAAGAACGTATGCGAATAGTCGCTCCAATCGATTCAATGATGAGTATTTTTCAAAATCTATAACAGGTTCAGTCATTGTCACAGCATGCACCTTCAACTCTGGTAAAGGCTCGGACTTTTTAATTTTTAATACTGGCCATTCGTCATCATTTTTGAGTAAAAAGTCAGGACCTATCCACCAAAGGGACAAAGACATAATTTTTTTGCATCTACTCCTCTCGAAATGAAATCCACCGGATTCAATTCTGTTGGAACATACTTCCAAGATAATGGTGAGGTAAGATCCACGATTTCACTTATACGATTGGCCGCAAATATTTTGAGCCTTTTGATATCGCCTTTGATCCAACTCAGGACCACAGTTGAATCACACCAGTGCACTATTTTCATAGGTTTGTACCTAAAAGAGTTCTAGTACAGATTTGGTGAGTTTGGCTAGCAAAGCGGCACACAGTTCAAGACGAGGAATGC